CAGCCTTTATTTGTTAGAACTGTGATGATCATGGCTTAAAGCTTCTAAAAACCCCACATTCAAAACTTCAATTAGAACATTGTGAAAAGGTTCAACATTTTAGACTTAAAGTGTCTCAATCAGCTAATGAGTCCTGAACACATGAAAATGGTTCCCGAGCCTTTAGATCTGGGGTATTCAATTCAACACACTTCATTCAGTGGTTGAATCACCTGCTCACTGGTCACTGCAGAAGCCTGTAAAACACCTGCTGACTGAAATCAGGTGTGTTGAACCATTGTTAAAACTAAGACGGACTGGATACCAGCTCTCCAGGCCCGGAATTGAATACCCCTGCTTTAGATGGTCTCTCGGTCTAAGTTGAATCGCAGAAATAAATGGGCTTTTGGACCATATTCTAATTTTTTGTTTCGCCTCTATGCCTTTGAATCACTTGGTAGCTTACTTGCTTCTTTTTGTCATTTTAACCTTCAATTAGTAATTTCAATTGCTAATTTAAAACGTTTTGCAGTAGAACCAAACTGAAAATCATAACCATGGTCTCCCCAACAGGTTTACTTAGGTCAGTGGTGTCCAGTCCTGATCCTGGAGTGCCATCATCCTGTTAGTCTTCCATGTTTCCTGCTCCAGGACTCCTGCATAAAAGGATTTAATCACTTCCCTATGTTAAGTTCTGCAGAATCTAAATCCTCATCACTTGAGTTGGGCTTCTCTGCTTTGACACACTAGGTTTTAATCAGGGTGTCACGTCCCCGACAGGAGGTGTTAAAATGTGTTGGAGGGTGTAACTTAAGAAACATGATAGTGAGTTTAAATGTCAAAAGGTTCTAAAACAAGTGCAAACAGATGTAAGCATTATTAAAATAATACCAAACAAAAACCAAGACTAAAAGGTTAACATTTAAAGGACCACTTATCGACATGAAAACACCTGGTTAAAACTTTGTTAAAAGTTTTACCGAAACAGAAGGTGTTTTATAAAAACACAAGCTGATAATAAAAACCGACGCACTATGAAAACACTGAGTGCTTTAAAAGCCCAAAGTCGGTAAACTATGATGTTAACCTTAAAACAGAGTCAACCAAGCTGACAAGAACAAAAGATCCATTTGGATCACACAGAGTTAAAACTATAAAAGTTAAAACTCATCTAATCAAAGGGGTTGAAACCAAACTGAGGCCTGGAGGACAGCAGAACCCCTGCACTGCTGCCCCCCAGACTGCTGAGAGCACAGCCTTTTTATCCCAGGTGTGGGTCGTCAGAGGGATTCAGCTCAGCTGTGCTCCTCAGCAGCCTGGAAGAGAGGAGGAGGAGGGGCGGTGTCTGGCTGATCACCGCGGATGGGCGATCCTGCCTCCTGCACCTGAAGAGGCCAGGCTGGTGGCCATAACAAGGAACAGGGTAGCAAGCTTCTGCAGGACGTCAAGTGATTCAACAACTGAATCAGTTGTGTAGGAGCAGGGAGACAACTATAACATGCTGAGTGGGGATAATGGCCTTTGAGGACCAGGGTTAGACATCCCTTTTTATCAAAAACGTCTTTATCACTAGTTTTGCATTCTGTAGATTCAGTGTAATCTCACATCCACAAACTTTTCATCCCTCTGACTCCCCGCATTCCTAATGAGGTATTTTCAATGTTCGAGGAGTGAGCACCACCCACCCCTGCGGCATGGACCCCATGGGGTAAATCACCAAGTCTGCTCAGCCATCCCGTCAAGGAGGGGTCACGCAAAAGGACAGCGGGAGGGAAACTTTGCAGTTTTGGCTTGCTTTTAGCACTCCCTAGTGTCGGTTTTAATTCACTGTCATAAAAAATGAAAGTGAAACTGTTCTCCTTGCTGTGTTTTTAACACCTTAATATAACAGCTGAAGTGCTTCCCCAGCCTTCATTAGTTTCTACAGGAGCATTTTTTAAATTTAGCTTCATTAGCTAAATGTTGGGCTGCGCAGTGGCGCAGTGGTTAGAGCTGTTGCATTGCAGCAAGAAGGTCCTGGGTTCGCTTCCCGGCCTGGGATCTTTCTGCATGGAGTTTGCATGTTCTACCTGTGCATGCGTGGGTTCTCTCCGGGTACTCTGGCTTCCTCCCACAGTCCAAAAACATGACTGTTAGGCTGATTGGTCTGTCTAAATTGTCCTTAGGTGTAAGTGTGTGTGTGTGCATGATTGTTTGTCCTGTGTGTCTCTGTGTTGCCCTGCGATGGACTGGCTCTCTGTCCAGGGTGTACCCTGCCTGATTGCCCGTTGACCGCTGGAGATAAGCACCAGCTCCCCCCCCTCCCCGCAACCCCACGCGGACGAGCAGGCTCAGAAAATGGATGGATGGATAGCGTCTCTTCTGGGGCTCCATCATGATAAACAAGTCACAATAAATGCTAACCAGGTATAGCGCATCTATTCTGAGGTGTAAACAGGGATTGCTGTAAAGCGTGACTTTGTGACTTCAGGGCAGCGGTCCAGAGAAGCTGAAGTTGCAAACGGAAAGGGGCGGAGAGGCTTTTCATTCACCCTGTAAAGGATCATTTTAGCTTCTGCTGACTCAAGAAAATGGTTTTAAAATGAAAAAGTTGCATTTTGTACCTTTAATGTTGTTCAGCTTTCATTGACTTCTCTCTCAATTCTCTATATTTAAGCGTGTTATTAAAATCTTTGATGTAACATGTAAACTTAACTTACTGGCACAGACACCTCCTTTCAGCACAAAACCTCCATGTCCGTTTTTGCTTCATATTTTGCATATTATATTTGCACCTGGTTGGTAGCAAAAGTCAACAAACTGGAGTGGATCAAGGTCAAGATGCTAACAGCTAGCATAAGTGATAAACTGCTTACTGTTTTAAAACAAAACACTAATTATATATCTGTAGTCATACTAAAGGAGTCAAATAACAAAAATATGTCAAACACATTTAAAATGTGGGTAAAACTAAGTTGACATCTGGACATGCGCACCATCTTTAATTTAACTGACAAGTTGCACCTGCACACTTCTTGGTGTGAACTGTGGATCTACTACCTTCACGACGCCGAGCTGAGCTGAACATTCCATTGATCTCATTTTCTTTTCTTTTCTTTTGAAAGTGGTTGCTTTGGGAGCAATTTTCCACAGCCATACCCACCTGACAAAATGTTCAGCACAGAAGAGTCAAAGAAAATGCGGCAAATGACTTCTCGGTGGCACCGCAAAGGACAAAAAAGTTTGATTAGCCAAGTAGTTAATAGCATTTTGAATGTGTTTGTTTTTCCACAGCATAATTAACTCATTTATTGTAGATATACCGTAAATCCTCTAATATTGGCCTGTATTCAATTAACTGCCGGGTATCATCTTTTGGCCGGCCGGTATTTTATTGTGGCCGGGTGGAATGTGGTAACAAGCAAGTACCACAGGGGGGGAGGTTGTGTCATCCGTCTCACTTTTGATTTGCCAGTGACAGACCGCAAGGGTAACTTTAACCGTGCGGAGAGGAAGAGGAGGCGAAAATTTGATGTCAAGTTCAAAGAGAACGTGCTGATTATGCTGCAGAACACTCTGGGGAGCAGTAGCAGGGGTTGTATGAACTAGTCAACTTCACTATAGTGACTTTTTATGCCTGTCATCGACTAGTCGCTGTCACGTGATAATGACCGGCAAGATGCAGTCCACGGAAAAGACAGCAGCCTGCTGTCAGCAGGTGACAAGCTCCTGCACGTCGGGGGGGGGGGGGGGGGACGCGCTGTGCCAGAGCGTTGGTACCGACACCCGCCGTAAAACGGACATTTAACCAAATTGTGACCCTTTCCCTCTTGCAATTTAACATTCCCCTCACCCCCATCCTAGCCTTAACCAGCTTGCGCATGCAAAGCTCTGATTGTTGACACGCTCCAGACATCTGCGTCCTGAGCACGGCCACAGTAACATTGTCAAATCAGGTGTCGCCACCTCAAAAACTAATTTAACACACGATCGTTCATGTCGGCTCATTTCCTTTAATGTTTTCTGTCTTTTATTTGTGCCTGATGCGTTTCGCTGTGGAGCGGGGCGCATCACCTTGTCCTCCGGTGATGCACCGATCACTGATGCGGCCGGCGAGCACTCCGCTGTTTTTGCGGTCGGTAGATCTTTTAGAACTGCAGCTCAAAGGTAACTCATGAGGTGAATATATATGAAGCCAGGTAGCAGTTTTTCTTTAGGATTGAGAGGAGATGCAGGAAGATAATAAACAGGCAGGACAGAAAAATAGTCAAATAAAAACAAGTTAGTTTTTATACCTGGTGGTTGCAACAAACAGACACCATTGAAGGTAATCAGAAGTGAGGAACAGAAAATGAAATAATTATTTTAATGTTTAGAGCAGCAGGAACTCTGAGAGGCTGCAGGCGCATCAGTGAGTTTGCGGCCACTGCGCAGCGGGAGGGGGGGAGGGCTGAAGCAGAAACTACCGTTGTTAAAAGAAATGTGTTTAACTTTGAAAATGTGGGCGCAATTTTAATTGTCAAAAACTCCAGCGAACCATTAGCTCATTTTGCTCAAATAGAAATAGAGGCCTGCCTCTAATTCTGGTTCTCCTTCCAATAAAGGCCTGGAGCTTGATGAGCTTGAGTCAAATACAGGCCCGGGCCTGTATTAGAGGGTTTACGGTATTCAGAGGTATTCATTTTAAGGTAGGATTTCCCCCCTGAATTGAACTTATTTGAGATATAATGAACCCTATATACTTTTACTTTAAACAGTTTTTCTAAAACGTGTAGCAGCAGATCTTTGACACATGCAAAACCAAACCTGCTCAACTGCTGCTGTGTTGCATTTTCTAACACCAAACACAACGGAGCAGTGATCAAAAGGCTGTAGACTGACATTAAGCGCACGATGAGTCTGCCTGAGTTCCCACATCACAGAGTTTCTCAAGATGTAGGTTGACAGCAGTTTGATCATAGTAACCAGACTTCCTCTTTTGTGGCTTGTTGCTATGGTGAGACTTCCCTTCCAGGCAGGAAGTGACAGGAAGACCCAAGTGATGCCTTTTAGAGTGTTTGTGTATGAGAAGTGTGCATGAAGTTTGGGTGGAGCTCTCTGCCGTGGATTTTGACCGTTTACACTTGACAGAAAACCAATTTGAACTGGGCCAGCATGGCGAAGAGCAGCAAGAGTCTAGAGAGTTCTCCTGGCCACATGGTGAGTTTGTACCTCTGCTTTGGGGCTCCAGCTGGTCCTGCAGGTGTTTGGCTCCAGCCCTTATTTAGGTTAAATGCTTTGTGAAGCTGGTCTGGTGCTTTTATGACATCTAGTTTAGAGATGTCCTGTGTTGGCTTGAGCTGCCTGTCCTCACTCCTCTGCAGGGTCAGACCCAATCAGGCTGCACGGTAACAGTTGGTTGCTACTGAAAACAGAATGGGCTGTCCTGAGCCAGAAGCAGAAACCAAGCCATGCCTGTTGTCCAATCCGTCAAGTGTAGACTGAGTTGGCTTGAATGTGCTCGCTCTGATGCCCGAGACGTTTCCTGAAATGGAAGTCAGTTGTGTCTAAGTCAAATACTTCAGCTCTTAAAACGTTAAAACCCATATCTGTCTCCTCCTCAGTCACAGAGAGCAAAGCGTGTGCAGTAAGATCAGTGATGGCGATATGTGAAACTGGATCAAGTTCATCGGACATCCTGTGGTCCTTGCTTGAGTTTCTCAGTATTACTCTGAATTGTGATTTTTAAGCCAGAAACGAAAGAGAGGTAGTTACAGTTGCTGATTCCAGATCATTACTGCCCAGAGCTGTTTAAACCACTCACATGCACATTATATTACATCTCTTTTCTTCTTTTATTTGTATGTATTGTCTAATTTGAACAGAAATACACTTTAATGCGTGGCTACCTTACAGATATACTTGTTCTTCAACACATCAACACATTCATAGGAGATTATAGACTCAGGCCAGTCTGCAAAGGTGACTTATGAGGTAAAGTCAAGGGTTTTGTTAGGATTTGTGTCATGGATGGATAGTTGGAGAGAGTTTGGAAGGTGGGGAGGTTCTGGTGAAGAGGGTGGACCAGCTCATGGAGGGCCTGGAAGAGGATCAGAGGAGTTAGGATGGAGGGAAAGGTTAGAGGTTGTTGATCAGGTGTGGATTATCAAGAGCTTTGGTAGAAAAGAAAGGAAACACGATTCCAAGTTTCAATACAATACTTGATGGTTGAACAATGACGATTGGGTTCTTGCAGGAATAAAAGCAGGCAGTTAACCAGAAAGAGTTTGAATATTCAGTAAAACCTGGCCATCTTGGGGACAAGGTGGCCATCAGTGAAATGTGGCAGAAAGAAAGAAATTTAAAAATGTTTTTCAAAAGCCGCTAAATACAACTCCAACCTGAGGGGAAAAGCAGACTGGGCCGGTCCTAAAGATCAGTTTGAGACCAACAATAAGAGTTTAATTACCTTTGAGTTGGACGAAAACGTAACCAAGAAGAGTTCAAGAATGAGATTAGAATAGTGGCAACGTAACTTTTTGTTCTGCTCTTTAATTTAAAATAGTTTTAACATTTTATTGTGAGTGGTTTCTAAAGTAAGCGGGTTAAGCCTTTTCTTCAGTTAAATATTTCAGAAATGCACCAAAATCAGGCCCTAGTCATTGGGATTGTCTAAAACTGTTTTTAATACGAACATGTTTCACCAGTCAGCAATAAAGACATAGCCAGTAACTTCCCAAGAACTAATTCAAACCATCGATAACAAATCTACCCTGTGGGAGTTTTGATTTCCATAATCATCATTTTCAAGTAAGGAAAATGTTTAAAAGCATTTTGGTCATTTTTGTTCTTTGACTTAAATTTACATCAAACTTTTCTAACAGCAGGTCAGACCCAGAATCGCTTAGCCAGATGTTGAGAGGAACCCCTAATGTAACATGACTTTTCCAGTTCCTAGGATAAAGGTTGGAAAATAAAATATGAGAGCATTATGAACACATGAATGTGAAGTGGCCAATTAAAGTGAATATGTTGGGTAATTGTACTAAAATGATACCACTGGATGTTGTAAAGGTAAAAGTGTCTAAATGTTCACAATCTGGCCTTTAATGACCATTAACAATATTTATGAACAGAACATCCACTGTGACCCCCCCCCCCCCCCCCCCACACACACACACACACACACAAACTAGTTCATTCACACCTCTGAGTAATGCTGTTCACCGGCTGCGTGTGTTTTGAGTGTGGGAGGAAACGACGCCCCCGCAGGAGGCACCCCAGACTAAAGGACACGTGAACTACTAACATAGTGCATCAAACATAGCACAATGTGTGTGTGTGTGTGTGCGTGTGTACATGCAAGTGTGTGCATGGGTGTGTGTATGCCTGTGTGTGCACGTGCATTTGTTTGCGTGTGCATGCCTATGCCTGTGCATGTGTGTGTGTGTGTGGTGGTCTTGGATCAATTCATTGGGTTGCATCTAACCCAGGTTGCCCCTGCTACAGTCCAACCCCTCTGCAGACATGAATAACGCTCTCTGAAAGCTGAATGAGAGCTGTTGTCATCAGTGTTGGAACCCCTTCCTGTGAAAACAGACTCACTGATTGCACTACACGGTGACACGACGGGGAGAGAAAAACTCGTGCAGCGGTTGTTCACATTTTACTTCCTAAACTTTGTACTCGTGCTGCTCAAAGCACACGTAGCTGCTGGTGCAGATGAGGTAACAGGCGGGGTGTTTTTGTTTTCTGTGAACATCCCTAACGTCTTTGTCTGCTTTCTTTTGTCTGTTTTCTTCCAGAAAAGCATCTGAAACACAAACCTACATCAGACTTTAGCTGTTCTAACCCTCCTGACTCATTTCTCTCTCTGTTCACAGAGCCAGGCTGTATCAGATGGAGGTAAACACGAACAGCCAACCTTCTCACTGCTAATCTTTTTTTCACATCTCTCACTTGAACATGCCTGTGCATGAAATCCTCTTCAGTTTCATTCCTGCTCTGTCTTGTCAGTTCTGATAAATGGGTGTCTCTGTGACTGTGTGTCAGAGCTGAACATGACTGCGCGGGGCTGCGGAGGCAGCAGCTCCAGCCTTCCAGGGATCCCGGGTGGGGACGGCGGCTCCGCCAACAGCGTGCTGAGCTGGGCCGTCTCATTCGAGAATCTGCTGGAAGACCCCTGTGGGGTTGCTTACTTCACGGTGAGAGGAGCTCGCTGTAGTTTCAATGGCAAGCTTTGAAATGATTCACTGGCTGAGCTCTAATGGAGCTGCGTGTGTTCTTTGTGTCTGCAGGCCTTCTTGAAGTCAGAAGTGAGTGCAGAGAACATTTTATTCTGGAAAGCGTGTGAAAAGTTCAGGACGATCCCCGCCACCTCTCTGGATGAGGTACAACCTTTTACTGTTTGGTAGCTGCTGTTGCTTCAGATTTCTTGCATTTTCTTACTCAGACGCTAAAGAGTAACTCTAGCTTAAGCCCCAGAGCAACATACGCCATGCTTCATTAATTCCTCTGCCACAGAAATTACAGATTAAAACCTGATTTACATTTTCTGGAGAAACTCGTCTGGCTGGGAACTCATCCAGTGGATTTCAGCTCCTACTGAGCATGCTCATTGGAACAGACATACAGTCACCAAAGTATTTGCAAGACTTCATAAACAGATGGTTTTTATAAGCTAAATGTCAGTTTGCAGGTTGTTTTCAGATTATTTAACCCCCTTTTAAATGGTAATGCGTAACTTTGGTCTAACTAGTCTGACTGTGATGATTGATCCCAGCTGAAAGCTGCAGCTCTCTCCATCTACACCACCTACCTGTCAGAGAGCGCTCCTTACTCTGTGAACATTGATGACACAGCCAAGACTGAGGAGAAGGACCTGGAACAGCCCACTCCAGACATGTTCACCAAAGCTCAGAGCCAGGTCTGCATTAACTTCAAACTCCCGTTAAACCCCGGTGATGCGTAGTTTAACTTTGTGCTCCACTGCTTTGTGTCAGATCTTTAAGCTGATGAAGATGGACAGCTACAGGCGCTTTGTGCGCTCTCCTCTCTACCAACGCTGCAGCGTGGCCAGTGTTGAGGGCAAACATCTACCGCCGCTCTACTCCGAGCCTGTACGGATGGGGTCCCGGGAGGATGTGGTCACCAGAAACAACGCGAGCATCAAGGTATCTGACCTGATGGCCAGGAGAAACCCACGACGTGTGTTTGTGTTTTGATTTAATGTTTAACTTTACACAGAACAGGAAGTCAGACTCCAGCAGCATGCTGGGTGGGAAGATTTCCTGGGCGTCGCACCCGTGGGGGATGTGGGGGTTTCAACACCCACACTTTTCCAGCCGCTTAGCTCACCTCCACACCAGTCTGGTTCCTGTCTGGTTTCTGTACGTCGCACTCACTCTGTTTGCCACACACATTCTCACTCCCAGCGCGTCAAAAACAAACGCTTGGTCAGCCACCCTCCGGGTCAGGCTCCTGATGCCAAAAGTGCCCTTTTTCGTCACTTATGTGCGAAAAGGGGTTTTCCCCTTTTCTGACTGCAGATCCCAATGCAGCGTAAAACTGACGCAATGGGATGTCCTCAGCCAGGGCACCAATTAAGCTCATTGTACCTCACCCTAACCTTGTCCTCTTATTTTTAACCTTCCCCTCACCCCCTATCCTAACCTTAACCATCTTGCTAGCTAACACGTTAGTGATGTGTCGGTTGCTCTAAAAGCCGGCTCTATTAAGTGAATGGACCGCTTCAGTGGGAGGAAATCTTACCGCATGCGCTGTCTGCGCTGCACTCCGAACCCCTCTACAGATCTTCCACTCAACTCAATTCAATTCAAGTTTATTTATATAGCGCCAAATCACGACAAGAGTCGTCTCAAGGCACTTCACATAATAAACATTCCAATCCAGGTCAGTTCATTAAGCCAATCAGAAATAATGTTTCCTGTATAAGGAACCCAGCAAATTGCATCAAGTCACTGACTAGTGTCAGTGACTATACAGCAATCCTCATACTAAGCAAGCATGCAGGGACAGTGGAGAGGAAAACTCCCTTTTAACAGGAAGAAACCTCCAGAGGATCCTGGCTCAGTATAAGCAGCCATCCTCCACGACTCACTGGAGATCGAGAAGACAGAGCAGACACACACACACACACACACACACACACACACACACACACACACACACACACACACACACACACACACACACACACACACACACACACACACACACACACACACACACACACACACACACACACACACACACACACACACCAAACAATGTGTCTATAGTTATATTGTGATTTCTTAGTAAATATTCTATTTAGTGAGAGATAAACTTTATTGTATTTATCCTAGTGAATCTATAATTAAATGGATAAACTAGTAGTAGCACATTTAATGTCAAGGAGAGCAAAAAAGTTATTATCAGGAGAGGGAGAATGTTTAAGTGGTTAGCAACAGTGTTCAAGCTGATGCCCCCTCCATGAGGCCACCACAGCTCAGCAGAACATTGTTGTAGCTTCTTCTGGGGAGAAAAACACTTAGAGAAAAAATAAAGTTAACAGCTGAAATAGCAGAAAATAATACAGTTAAAGAGCAGATAGTAGAAGAAAGTAGTCAAGTGTGGAAAGTGGTGTGTATCCTCCAGCAGTCTAAGCCTATAGCAGCATAACTACAGAGATAACTCTGGATAATCTATCCTTTTAGATGGAGGCATGTTGGAGGCAGGGCAAGGGAGAGCCGTCTTTACCGACTGTACACTCCACCTTCCTCTACTCCCCCACTTGTCCAGGTCTGGGCTAACATCAGATTTTAACCATAGACCCTATCAAATTAAAATGTTTTAAGCCTAGTCTCAAAAGTAGACAAGGTGTCTGCCTCACAGACTAAAGCTCACTGTCCACCGTGTGCGCTGCGAGCCGCGCTGAGCACATGTCCAGTGTAATGCTCTGATGTTCTGATGGGAATCTTTTCTTGATTGATTTAGTTACCTCTGTGATGTGCGTTAACGATTAAAATGTCAGCTCATCTTTGTGTGCATCAGTGTGCGTTGGGGTAATTCTTTCAAAACAACCAACATCCTTGAGTTTATCTGTCAAAATAAACAGTCAAATGGAAATATCTGTAACCTGCCATTTAACTGTGTTGCCTTCCTGTGAAGATTGTTGCAAAGGGAAACAACTAAACTTGATTAACCCCAGAGCCATGCGCACTGCGCTGTACTCCGTGACTGTAAATGAGGGGGAAATGATTTAATCGGATCCTTTTCTTTTCAACATGGTTTAATGTAAAGTTTAATTCAGTACAAACTTTAGTTACACCAATCTAACGAGACAGAGCCTGGATTTGTGTTCTGAACAGTTTAAACATGTTTAAAACGGAGACTTGCGTGACGCGTCTAAAATTCACACCTGCTCCGCTATTATGGAAATCAAACTAACGAGATGAATTACATGAAATTATTTTAGGCACAGACAACATCCCCCACACTTCTGAAAAGCTTGCAACGTGCCTGCCTGGGACAAACAGAAACAGAAAAGGGGATCATGGGGAGGTAGAGGCTGCCACATTTCAGATGTTTAAAAATAAATGTTTAGATTTTCTCTCGATACTTTTGTCTTATATTTGCTACTGAAGATGCATCAACGGTAGAAGGCTCAGTCATCTAGAGAGTCCCACTTAGCAGTTAAATCGACCAGCAGTGTGGAGCTTGGCTCCCTCCACAGGCAGATCGAGGTCAGTACATCTGTGACAAACGTGGCTGGAGCTGACTGACTTCAGGAGGATTTCGTTATAGCTTGTTTTTACTGTAACCATGTGTTGTTTCATTAATATTAGCTTTCTAATCAACGTTCCATTTCCTTTTCTCTCTCTGCCTGTAGAATGGTGGGTCCAGTCCCCGAGTGCTTGAACATGCAGGTGTGTTGGGGAGTCGAATTGGGGTGGAGGGGGGCTACTGCTGCGTCTACCTGCCGGATGGGAGCGCCTCTCTGGCCCCCACACGGAAGGGCCAGTCTATCAAAGACATGCTGGCTAGTCTGTGTGAGAAAAGAGGCTTCCCGCTGAAAGATGTCATCATTTACCTTCAGGGCATGGAGAAGGTGAACTGTCTGCACCAACTACACCTTAAACAGAAAAATACCCACAATCCTAACCGTGTTTGTGTAAGAGATGATTCACCTCACCATGTCTAACTTTTTTAGATTAATAAATGATGTTTGTGTCTACAAACGTCTCTCTGCATCCTGTCTGATGCGTTTGTCCCTCCTGCAGCAGCCCCTGTCGCTGGACCAGGACTGCTCCGTGCTGAGAGACCAACAGGTCTCTCTCGAGCTCAGGGTGGCGTTCATGTGAGTCACTTCCTTTTTTTTCCCCATGCGTGTCACCACAGCCGGCTTTAACACCCACAGCCCCGCTGCAAAGTGTCAAATCTCACCATATCTGAGGGAAGTCCTGGCTTTTTCATCAGCGTGTCAGTTGGCTGTCCTGTGCTGCATGTGTTCCCAAAAAGTTGTTAGAGTAGATGAAACAAGGAAGTCTTTGCCTTCCGGGCTGACTGAGCCTCAGCCTGAGGTGTGGGGTTTATTGATGAGGTGTGACTGTGTCACAGGCTGGAGAACGCCTTCTCTGGTAGGACCAATGCAATTGTGGCGAAGTCCAATAAGACTCTGCAGGACGCCCTCCAAGCGGTGATGCAGAAACATCAGCTCAAACCTCAGGAGGTCTCGGTTTCCATGGTGAGTGCGCAACCTGTGCAAGCGACCCTTATTTAGTGCAACATTTTTTATATTTGTGCAGTTTGTATATCTGCAGACTTTTTTAGATTTAGATTGTCGGTTTTATGCTTATGAGTCAACCGCACCTTCAGTCTCGAACCTGGAAATGGTGACAATGACAAAGATTATCTTCTGATTCTGTTGGGTAAAATACAAATGGCTGGTACTTGGTGATGTAAGAGACACATAAATATATTTGATGCTGTTAATCTCTGATGCTGGTAGGTTCTAATTAATTTACCATGTAATCCTGATGGGAATATGCATTGAGACAAAATTGGCCGTAACAAATTATTTACATCTTTGAGATCTTAACAATTTACTGACACACTACGGTAATTATTAAACATTTTATTGATTTGTCACTTTTAAGCGTCCTTGGTTTAGAATTCAGTTCAATTCAGTTTATTCAGAATCAGAAAAACTTTATTTATCCCTGAGGGGCAATTTAAAAAAAAGACAGCAGAGCAGCATGATGTTGGACATACAAACATTGAATAAATAGGCAATAAGCACTGTAACATCCAGCAATGGTCAGGTTTTAGATACAGTTTGACCCTTCAACATCTGGTCCAAATGGAGACAAGAGACTGCATGTGTTCCCTTTAAATTGGCCTGCCTTGACGTTGATACTTGATTTTTTGGGTTAGGGTTAGGGTTATGGTTATGGTTAGGGTTTGTGTCATGTAAAACACAGTAAAATTAGCCTACGGGTAGGACGTTTTGCCAAAGTAGGACGTTTTCTCAGAACACCAGCCCTACCACCCCAGAGAATGTTGGCGTGCGTAGGGGGTGTAACTCCATCAAAAGCTCCAGGATCTGCGGCTTCCATGGGAAAAAACAGGACGGGGCCGAAAGCAGGAGAGGAGAATGGGTCCGACCACCCCGGAAACAGGTAGGATGCGCGGAAACCTCTTGAGTCAGAATTCCCCTCCGCTAAATGGAAAAAAGAAAAAAATAATCCTCCAGGCAGATGTTTAGAGCTCACCACAGGTCCAGGTTGGTCGGATCATTCTGTCGCGTTGAGGGTGTGGGTGGCGGCGGACCATGTCTGGTGGAGCAGATCAGGAGGCAGGAATGCAGGCACGGATGAAATAAAAGTAGTTTTAATGGCAGAGCGGGAACGACAGCACAAAAACAACGCTGACAACAAACAATGATCCGACAAACACTGATACAAGAAGGGAGGTATAAATACACAGGGGAAAATCAGGAACACATGGGCGGATTAACACGGGACAGGTGAGAACAATAAAGACACAGTCAGGGAGGGAGGCAGGAGCAGATTGTGACAAAATGTGGCTTTAAAAGCTTAAAAATGTCCTTAGGGTAGCTTCTTGTTTTTCAATGTAGCATTTATTTCTGAAAGAATAAGGTAGTACACGTTGTATCAGTAAAAGATCAAAGACTCATCTGTGCAAACTTCTGAAGATAAGGTGGTCACCACAGAAAACCGTTTACACCAGTAGACTGAGCCATGTCGGACAGCTCTTCTATCCACCCATAAAACCGACTTGTTTGTTTCAGGTTGGGAGTGATGAGCCCCTGAGCCTGAGCAGCCCCGTTTACAGACTGGCCAATAAGACCATCCATCTGGACAAAACCAAAGGTTAAGACAGTTGACCTTTCTGAAGATGTGGTTACTTTATTTTAATGTGAACCAGGCAGAACAGTGTTTATGATTTGTCGTGGCACAGCGAAGCTCCCTGAAAAGCACAATCAATCAGAGGCTGAAAACAAGGTCACGTAGCTAATGAGAGCATAAATGAAACGAGGTGAAGGTGATCTTCTGCTCCCATCAGCTGTGTGTGGTTCAGGCTTTTCTCTGTTCTCTCCTAAGCTGTGTTTTCTTTTCTCTCCATCTAATTGTTTCCTAATGGCTTCCAGAAAGCGTTTGCTCTTTGTAACCAATGAAGAAGAGTCTTCCTGTACCCATTTAACCTCTCTCCTTTCTTTAAGTCTCCTCTTTATTCACTTTGATTTCTTTTGTGTGCCATTTTTTCCTCTCTCCATCTCTTTATTCCTTACTGTGGGTTCAAAATGTCAGATTCAATTTGGTTTGTTTAACGCCATGTCATTTTCTGTTCACTCACCTCCTTCCTCGGCTGCTAAGAAACCAGAATCAACTTCACTTTAAATCTGAGCTCTGAGCCTCGGCTCCATTTATTGCATTTAGGAAAGGCAACTACGATTCACCCAGAAGCACTGAGACGGATTTTGATCTTTGTGTGACTCTAGGTAAAGACCAGACCATCATTCCCAGAGGGAGTGGTTCTTTTGTTTCCACACAGGTGAGGGAATCAATACACGTTTACATAGATTTGAATTAGGCACATAGAGTTTCTGGTAAAAGCTGGAAGTCTTGGTTTCTAACTCGGATCAGACTGCTTACTGAGAAGAACATTCATGGTGATGAATATTCTGATAACATTTTCTTTAAAGAGCAGGCGTGGATGCACCACTAAACTGCAGCAGCTAAAATCACTTATATCCTAGTTTCAAGGTGTTTCTTCCCACCGGGTACATTTTCTAACCTCCATTTTTCTGTAGAGCCAATCCTCAATGAAGACTGATGCCTCAAAGTGAAAATAAAGCTTAAAGTGAAAATAAAGCATAATTAAAACATTTTGCAAACTTCTCACAGCTTTCATTGTTTTGTTGGCTTTAAATAATACATTTTTATTAGCCCAAGCAGCTGTGAGATTTCTGCTTAGTGCATATTTTATGGCACACTATGACAATATACAAATTATTAATTACAACTAACCAACGAGAATTGAATGTGTAATGAATCAAAAGAGTAAATTTTCACCATCTAATTGACACAACATAACCTTTCATACACGACAGAGCTGCAAAGTCAAGGTTACGCCATCTGGAGTATCCAGACGCACAAATCAACCTTTTGCTCACTTATTGTTCTTCAGCACAGACATAAATAAACTGTCAAGGTCTCCTGCAAAAGCCCTTATCTCTCTGCTAAAACTCAGACTGCATTCCTCACTCTGAGTAAAAGTGAACCTACACTAATCCTACAAGGCTTTACAACTTATAAGTTAATTAATCATATTTGATGAATGAACAAGATGTTTAAATAAAACGTTTGAATAATCTGTGCTTAAATCAATGAAGTTGAAATGAATATTGCTCTTACAATGATCCATTGCAGATCTTATGATCAGTATGTGTTTGATTTCACAAGTTAATAATTTTCTACACTCATATACATCTTCATAATATACAAATTTAGGTTACGGTTCACCTCACATAAAGTTTAAAGATTCTTATTCACAGTGTTAAGAATCTTGTATCTGAAGGAAGGCGTGGCTTTCTGAGGGATGTTTTGGTAAAGGCTTCCAGACATGGCACATTCTGATTTGCCAGAATGGCCAGAAATCATAACAAAATAGTTTAATAAAACAAGAATTACTTCCCGAGTAATCCAGTTTCTAGCGGAGTTTTGGACCGGCCAATTCGGAACAAGCATCCTTGAGACATCTCTTTTGACATACAGTCAAAACCTGTTTGCACGCTGCAAGCTGACACAGCCAGATGGCTCCCTAAGAGCCACATCCACTTTGGATGCAAACAAGCATTCCAGCTACTGTTGTGACCTGGAGACATCTCTAGACTGGGCGGGTTGTATCGGAGTTAATCTACGGGCTCCAGGTGCCGTGAGGTCCACCCAACTTCTGACAGTCTGGATCTGCTGGGGGTCTCCGCCAGGGTTTGTAGACACAACAGATTGTGTCGGATGCTGTTTTATTAATAGTCAACTCTCTAGTTTATAGCAGATAACAAATTCTTCTACACCCAGATTTCACAATTTCTTTCAGATACAAAGATTCTGATGAACGTCTAACTTACATCACACCACCTTAGGGATGGGTACCGAATTCGGTACTTTTTAAGGTACCGACCGAATTCCACAGTACCGACCGAGCACCGATTCACTTCATTTGAAACGGTGCCTCGTTTCGGTACCCGTCCTTCACAAAGAAAACTTGCCTAGACAGCTGCGCAAGCGCAAGAGCATTATGTCATCGGTCGCTGCGAGCGAGTTGTAAACAGAGCAGCTCCGGTAGGTAAATAAAATGTTTAAGATAATGTTAGCTTTATATGTTAGCTTCTGTTTCACTAATGGTGCGTTCGCTTTCTCCTCGGAACTCCGAAATTCCGACTAGAAGAACATGAACACGCTCTAAAGTTTGGCTTCACTTTACTAAATGCAACGGGTGATTGGGTGAAGATGAAACCAGTGACAACGATGTGAGGCATCGTCGTTTTAATCTGCTCCAGCAGTTAAATAAACTGTTTAAGATAACGTTAGCTTGATATGTTAGCTTCCATTGCCACCGTTGTTATCAGCTAATGGTGCGTTCGCTTTCTCCTCGGAAATTCTAACTTCCCAGTAGGAAAAATCAATTGAAAAAGGACGGTAAAAGGAATGAAGATACACAGTAAATTTAGTTCACAGTAAAGATGTTTGCTTCAGTTTAATTATCAGCTTATAAAACTACAAGGATGATGTTAAAATACAAACAGTTGTATGTTATTTATTGTGATATTTATCAAATATGGTTATATATTGAGAAAAATATATATTTAATTATAAAAGAGAATTAAAAATATTAAACACTCAAAAGTATCGAAAATTGGTACCGTTTAGTACCGGTATCGATTCGAATGTCAAAGGTACCCATCCCTACACCACCTACACATCACATTCCATCACCACATATCCACCCCATCACATCTCATTATTAATATCTTGTCTATATATATGACTATATACTTGACCCTGTCTGAATTAATACGAAGTGTGTTTATGGTCCCTGAACAAGTAAAAGTAACTATAATCTTCTGATTAAACATTCAAAAATCAATCAGATTGATATTTCATATTCATATGGAATCAACACATCTTATTGGTCATAATTAATTTGCAGTAGTCACGCTATAAAGTGTGACTGTTACAAATGGTTTAAAAAATTCTTCAGAACAAGTATTAAACAAGGTCAACAAATCAATGTAAAAAAGAAGAAAATATTATACAGAGAAGCCAGTGTCCATGCATGAAGTTGGTCAAGTTTATATTAGAAATTATGTTAATAATAAAATGTCAAAACAAAATCATACTCTGATCACCCTAATCGCCTTTTACACAATTAAAAGTTCAGTGCGGTGCAATTCTGCCCCCATAGGGCTCCTGTCCTGCTTGTTTTACTAGTTTCTCTGCCCAAACACACCTGATTCAAAGGTTGAATTAAAGTACCTCATCATTATCTTCAGGTTCTACAGAATTCTGTTTATCATACAGTCCCTTAAATCAGTTGTGCTGGAGCACAGGAGTGACTGACTACTGGTGACCCTGGAGGACTAGGATTAGACTTCACATGAATGCACCATTCATACCATTGAAATAAAGTTAAACCCTCCAAAGTTTGGACTTCACAAGATCTCTGTGTGTCTTGTATCAAAATCATTAATGCTACAAGCTAAAATGACAACTTTTGATACAGATACTAACAGTCGTTAAATTAGGTGCATCCTTTCTTCTGCGGGAATTTACTCAACCCGTTTCTGAATCTAAAGGTTTGATGTCTAACGCTGGAATCTGTTTTGATTGTAGACTGGAGCCATGATTGCAGCTCTGGAGGCTCGGTCATCGGTTCACACAGACAGAACCAGGACACAGCACAGACCCAGTAAGAACCGCGCCATGGACGGTAGGGAACCTCAGCAGAAACTATTTGGGACGTCTCACACCCGAGATTGGATCAGGCCGATTTTTTAAATGTTTTTCAGTAATCGGAGATCAGCAATTATAACTGAAGATCTTTCTGAAATAGACTATGAGCACCTTAGCTTGTGCTACTTCAGGGGGACAAACTCCTGTAAGGGGCTCCTTTTCCTGTGTGATAGTCTCACCCTGTTTACGGTCGGGTTTTCCAGAAGAAGTCAACCAAAGCAATGACAAATAGAGCGGCATTTACATTTCTCAAGATTTCTAGGACACTTACCAAATTACTCCACTCTCCTGTCAGCTCGCATGAGTTTAAATCCTTCAAGGAACCCCCACAAGAAAGAAAAGCCGTCTCCTTCCTTTGCAAAGACCGGACCATCACGGATGTTGTACGGTTATTCTGAATACAACAGATTACCTCAACAAAGTCACCACACTTTTGAGCGACAGCACCACGTATGAAGCTCTAAAGAGGGACATGACAACTGGATACAAAAAGAAAATCAAGGGCCATTTACGGAAACTGCTAAAGGACAAAGTAATCGACTGCACATTTTACTACAAACTCATCCAGGGGAACCCACCCCTTGTATATGTGGCAAGGTGGAGAGAAACATGGCCTCGGGTGGGACTTGATCCCCAGACTCCTGGGTGAGAGTCGTGCACACTAACCAGTCAGCCAAAGGGACATCCCCTTGGCCAAGCAGCCAGGATGCATGATCAATCGGGATACAGTGACAGGACGCTCACACTGTCACATCTATATGGTCTTCAGAAGATTCACAAGGAAGAAACACCACTCAGACCCATCAGCAGCAGCATCATCTCAGTCACATACAACATTGCTAAACATCTCTCCACCATCCTGGCCCCCGCCGGTTGGAAAGACCCAACATCCCACTGAATTCCATGGATTTAGCAAAGAAAGTTCAAGAGCTCAAACTGGCCCCAGGGGAAACGGTTGTCTCATTTGATGTCACATCACTCTTCACATGTATACCCACAGACGAAGCAGTGGAAGCAGTTAGAAAATGACTGGAACAAGATGATTCCTTAAATGAGAGGACACAACTGACTCCAGACCAGATCTGTACCCTCTTGGACCTCTGCCTTTCCACCACCTATTTCAAACACAACACGTTTTACAGACATAAAGATGGATGCACCATGGGCTCCCAGTATCACCCATTACCGCCAACATTTACTTGGAGGAAGTGGAAACCAGAGCACTGAACTCCTACAATGGAACACCAAACCACTGGTTCAGGTATATGGACGACACATAGGTCAAAATTCTCACAAATGAAGTAGAAACGTTACCAAGCACATCAATGTTGTAGACAAAAACATCAAGTTCACCAGGGAGGATGCCCACAACAACCAACTGCTCCTTTTCGACTGTGCTGTGCAAATTGAACAAGATGGAAGTCTCAGCATTGAAGTCTACAAGAAACCAACCCACACAGACCAGTATTTGCATTTCGACACATCACCCATTATCAAAGCACAGAGGACTCAAATGCAGAGCTCACACAGTTTTAATAAGCAGAAGGGATTCCTGGAGTACAACACAACTGAAAAGTCCAAATATAACTGAATACACTTTTACCAAGTGTTTCTGAGAGCAGGTTCAAATCACACAACAGGAGAAGACAAACTGGCAAAGGAAACTGTTGCAAAGATGCTTAAATGGAGAAGCCAGGACCCAGGTGCAAGACATGAGGCAGATTAGTGAGGAGCCTCATGTCGTGAAGCTGCCTGTAATGAGACAGGAAGTGAATGCACAAAATAAAACAGGAAGTACCAAAAATACAATAAAACCAGAAACAAGACTGCAAAGCACTCAGCCTGCAGAATCACCCATGACACCCATCGGAGCACAAAATGTCAGTCATCAGAACTTTACACCATCGGGCCGAGAACATTCTCTCAAACACTGAAGGAAAACAAAAGGATAAAAATCACATCAGGAAAGATCTCCAAAACTGCAGATACCCTACCTGGGCCTTTGTGAAAACAGTAAAGAAGTCTTGAAATGAATCCAAAGCAGCAACTAGCAAAGAAAAGGGTAACACTTTACAATAAGGTACGCAAAATTGTGCTTTGTTACTAGGGAACGACTTAGGGGGTAATGAGTAATGTAACAGGGAAGATAGGTAGTTCACCAGTAGTTACTGGTGAAAATGCTCATCAGTCTTTTTTCAGGGTCTAATAGGTAGTTATCTATGAACGCAATAAGTAATCCCAGATGAATGTAGTGCCTGTGGACTCTCTTTTGCAAACTTCATGAAGGATGCAGATAATTTGCAACATCACAGTGATTTAACATCACTGTTTCATCTTGATTTCACTCCTCTGTCACTTTGTCGTCCACTATCAGCATCCGTCCGTCTTGAGATGATGGAAAGTGAAGCCTCTTCCCCAGCACCTACTGTGGAATGAATATGTACTTACTCAGTACTTAACCATTACTTATATGTTGTTACATGGCCATTTACCATAAATACATTGAGCTTATTCACACATCATTTTCTTTCATCTTGTGTGTGGTAATATTCCAGAGATGGATGACCAAAATCCTGCAGGTTAGTGTTACCTGGCTCAAATCAGTCACTAACAAAATGTTCAATGTTTAGGGCACTTTTTTAAATAATCAGAAAAGTACACAAAAATTAACTTTTGCATTTATAAACTTTGAAATCAACATGTATAAACACTCTAAAACTACCTATTATTCCCTACTTCATTACTCAGTACCCTGTAAGTCGTTTCCTAGTAACGAAGCACAATTTTGTGTACCTTATTGTAAAGTGTTACCAAGAAAAGGCCAACAGGCGCAAAGGCACCATCATCCCATACGTGGCAGGAGTCTCAGAGAAACTTAGAAGAGTCTTCTCCAAACACAACATCCAGGTGAACTTTAAACCCAACACCACCCTTAGACAGAAACTGGTCCATCCAAAAGACAAAACACCCAAACAGAAGCTCAGTGGCGTCGTTTATGCAGTCTAGTGTAGTGAGGACTTTCTAGATCTTTACATTGGAGAAACTAAACAACAATTACACAAGTGCATGGCATAACACAGGAGAGCCACCTCTTCAGGTCAATACTCTGCAGTCCACCTTCACCTGAAAATGCTGATCGGGACATCCCTAGTAACTAGAATCAGAATCAGAATCAGAATGAACTTTATTGCCAGCGCTCCAGATCAGAGCATAGGAACTTGACTCCATAGTACAACCTGACCAAGGTTACACACACACATATAGACAGGACAGATACAGGCAGACCATGGGAGCAGCCATGACGGCGCTCCTTTTGTAGATGAATGAGGGAATACATGAGGAAAGTTCAGGGGAGGGAGAAAAAAAAAGGCATTAACAGGGTTACACCAGCAGGGTGTAGCACTCTAATGCAAAAAAAAAAAAAAAAAAACACCCGACATGTAAGCACGAACGTCACAGTTCACAACATGAGACCCGGTAGGTAGGAGGGAGGGGCTGGGATCCTGGTTTCCTCAGTGGGGGCTGCCTGTGTGGCGCTCAACCAGCTGAATCCGCAGGTGGGAGGGAGGTCATGGGGAAGCACAGAGAGCAGAGAGTTCCTTCAACGTAATGACCCCGCTTGAGACCACAATCTGAAGGCGGGGGGGTTGGGGGGGGGGGGGGGGGGTTGGATAGAGTTTCACAGCATTTGTCTGCATTCCTTCCATCGTGGGGGTTATTGCATGCAACTCCAAGGCTGCTTATTGCGTCAGATTCGATAAACAGAACTTTGTTTGGGTCAGGCAGAGATAATTTTTCCTCCTTGCCGTAAGTCTGTATTGATCATTCAAGTCCTCCAGTAAGCCAATTAGGTGATTAAACATCTCCACACCATCCGGTGACCCTTTCCGAGATGTTATCAATCCTGCGTGCTAACACCGGTAACGCAGCTAAGACATTGTCCAGCTTGCGATTCACCTCGAGCAACGTCCCAGTCTGTGAGGTATCCACACGGACGGTGTCGTCCATGGTTGCGGGTCGCCCTCCAATCGCTCCCGTCATCCCAATTTTACGGAAAGCCAGATATCCTCCCACTCCAATCAGAAGAAATCCAGCGATCATCAGGCCAAATATCCACATATCTTCGACGTCCTCAATGGACAGCTGAGAGAGACAGATGATATTCCACTTCTTCCAGAAATCGAACATATATCCCGCTGCGTGTGTCCCTTGAGGGCAAGCGCAAGCCCCCTCCTCCGTCCTCATTGTAGAAAAAATCTTATCAATTGCGTTGAATGACCAATTAATTAAATCCATGCTGAAAAATAGTGAATGCAGAGGGAATGCAGAGAAGCGCTCTGTAGGCAGACGGGACAAAAAGAGCCTTGGGAAAATACAGATAAGGGAGCAAAAAGCAGAAGCGTCTGTTCTCTGTGAGTGCCGGGAGTGGTAGAACATTTTAACACAGACAACTGGAAACCTAACAGCAGATATTTCACCACTTCTGGAGGTAGGGTTTGAGGGTTATTCGTTTTTACCAGCGGGCGATTTCAGGAGGTTGTCTTTGATGATGCTGAGGATTTTAAAAAGGTTAAAATGACAAATGTTCTTATAGAAGCATTCCCAAAAAGCAAACAGGCTCACGGATGCTGAGAAGTCCAGATTTCAGGATGTTTTCTGTTATTGTAACAATACACACCAGTGCAGGTTTAACCCATGTGTTTGGGTTGTAAACACAACATCTTTGCCATCTTCAGCAGGTTTTCTGGACATGCTGACGAGGGCTCAGTGTTGCAGGGTCGATGACCAACGAGGACTTCTGACCAAAGAGCAGCTGGAGATTCCTTCATTCCTGCAGCTGCCTTCAGACCAGGCACAGGAGACAGATCCCAGTGCTCCCAGTAACTCCAGCTCCTCCACTGCTGACTCCAAATCAGAATCGGAGGGTAAAAGGTCTGATTCATCCAAAACTCCAGAAGAAAGTCCTGACCCAGATAAATCCAAAGACTCCAGGGAAACAACAGTTTGATGAATAGTTTTTAAATCTGGAATGGACAAAGATGAGCTGAAAGAATATTTCATGACCTTGAGGTCGAGTTTCATCAAGAGGGAAACATGGAGATGCACTTTTTAAACTTGTTAATGAATAAGCTTAACGACGGCTACGTCCTCAAGGTCCTGCTGATTTCTGGCCTTTTAAAGGTTTCTTGTGAAGAAAAAAGATCTTGGCAAACGTATAGTGTCAGAGTGAAACACTACAGATCCGTGTGGATGAGTGTTTGCTTGGAATTTCTATTATACTCTCGAATGTGTGCTTGAGCTGAAATAATTGCCCTGCATGGTTTTGTTTTACAAATTGTAGTTGGTCTGTTCTGAAACGATCTTCATTTGCTTTGATGTTCTGTTAACTCTAAGCTTAAACATTTCTTTGTGCAGGAAGAAGTTAGTACAGAGGGGCTTTTAAAAGTGTTTTGCATGTTTCTGTAGTTTTTTTTTTAAATAGCGGAGATGGCTGCATGTTTTTACAGATGTGTTTTATACTACTTGAAATTTCCTTCTTTACCATTTTGTGTGCTTACCTTTTCCTATCCTAATGCATGAACCCTGAACTTGGTCTGTTTCTGCTGAGTGACGGCATTTTGTGAAGCCCTTCACCTCTGATTTCCTCTCAGGGTCCACATCTTCAATAAACGAGATGTTAGATGGTTTCTGATCCCTTTGTTTATGTACACATTCTGATGTAAAGCCATTAATGCCTGACTATATTTGTAAATCTGAAGACTAATTCATATATACATTCTCGCTTTTGTAACACTGCTAACCCTGGTGTCTCTGTTCTCTTGGCTTCAGAAATTAATTTTCTAAAATTTCTCCGTAACACTTGTAAAGACATCTTACAAAATCTCTCTCCTGCTAGAAGGGTTTTCAATTCCCACCTCTGGCAGAACTTCAAACATGTCACAGCCGGGGAGGTGGGGGACATTGAATTTTATCAGGCCATGTTCTGCACCTTCCTTTTTGAGGCAGCTGGCTGAAGCTGTGGCTGCAGGGTGGTCTTGCCTCTCATGGCAACAAACTTGGAACCTGCAGTGGGACACTGGTGGGGATGGATGCTGTCGAGCTAAAGGATCTGTTGTGTCTACCACTAGGGGGCAATATAGGATAAAAGAGTCATAGGTAGGAGACAAGGAGAAGGAGGGAGAGAGGGAAGATGGATGCCTGACTGCTACATGTGACGCAGGTTGAATAAAAATTGGAAAAGGAAGTCTGACTATTTGTGCTACTTCCTGGTGAAACGGCCGACCAAAACTATAACAAAGTTCTATTGGGCCTTTTGGCCTCCGTTCTGGCAATCTAAGCAGAATGCAGCTCAGGTGTTCGCGGAGGCAAAAACCAGAGTGTGGGAGGAGCTTGGGGAGGCCATGCTAAAGGACTGCCACACGGCTTCAAAGTAATTCTGGTCCACCATCCGACGTCGTCGGTGGCTGAGTGGTTGGGGGGAGGCAGATCTCAGGAGGTGGTGAGCCTTGAGGCGAGGTGGTGGCTTAAGAGCTCAAATAGCTGGTTGTCCAGGGTTCTAGGAACGGCGAGCGGTAGGAGAGTGGGACGGAGGGGAAACAGGCAGAAGTGGGCTCGGAAGAAGCCCAGGAGGTTATTGCAGTAGATGGTGGTGGCTGGAAGGCTTGAGGAGGAACAAGTTTAGGAACTCGAAAGCTAGGTGCAAACTTGAAAGTTCTGGCTAGCAATTCTCCACTTGAAGAAGAAACCATCTTGAGGCGCTTCACAAAAACAAAAAATTTAAAATATTAAAAATCTTTTAGAAAATGCTAAAAAATAAGTTTAAAATAAGCAAAAATGGACTATTGTGTGTGTGTGTTTGAGAGCGAGAGCGAGAGCGAGAGAGAGAGAGAGAGAGAGAGAGAGAGAGAGAGAGAGAGAGAGAGAGAGAGAGAGAGAGAGAGAGAGAGAGTTAATAGGAAAGAGGCAAATCAGTGGATCCTGAGGAAGGTGGAGTAGGTAGAGAGAGCAGAATAAGAGGGTGGTGATGAAGGTCACACCAAAACCTGAACAGGTGAGTCTTCAGCTGTTTTTTAAAGAAGTCCACTGATCTCAGGGAGAGTTCCAGAGTCTGAGGGCCACAGCAGCAAATGATCTGTCTCCTTTGGACTTTAGCCTGTTGCACTGCACAACCAGTAGGCTTTGGTCACTGGACCTCAGGGACCTGCTGGGGTGTAGGGACAGAGAAGATCATCAATGGATGATGGTGCTTGTCCATGTAAGGCACTAAAGACCAGGGGCCTCATTTATCAAGCTTGCTTACGCACAAAACAGGGTCAGAAAACTGCGTAAGCAACTTTCCACGCGAACTTTGGGATTTATGAAAGAAAACTTAGCGGAAAAATGTGCGCAACTTTAAGTTGATTAAGGACCTGGCTTACGCACATTTTGGACATGGAGAGCAACTTATACTGCTTTGTGCGCACACAGAACAACCCCCCCCCCCCCCCCCCCCCCCCCGACTGAAATAAATTACAGCATCACTGTCTGACGTTACATAATCGGCCTTATTGGCGTATCAATTCTGACAGACCTGCAGCAATTAGTGTGATTACTTAGTAGACATATACACCGCAGATACACTCATGCTCATTGTGTCACAATAGACGCGCGGGTACTCCTGGAAGACTTTACCAACGGCAGGATCCGGATGGAGGGAGTGTTCAGAGATTACACAGATTTCCTCTCATGACACGACTGGCTGGTCAGCAGATTTAGATTCCCCAGAGGCCCCCTCCTAAACCTCTGTGCTGAGCTGAGCCCGGTGCTAGAGTGACCGACCCGTCGGACACATTCAATTCCAGTGCACCACCAGCTGTTGACTACTCTTGGGTTCCTGGCAACCGGCTCATTCCAACGAGAATTAGCAGACAGGTAGGGTTATCTTGGCTTGATCGAATTGGTATTATTTTAATTACTGCCCGAAGTTACTTTGGATAACAGATACATGTAACCGTTAGATCTGGAATATCTCAGTCATCTCTGAGCATCATAATGCTTGCAGTTTTGAATGGCATCATTAAAATGACAGTCCGATACATGAAGTTTCCCCACACTGTCGGAGAACAGGCCAACATTAAAGCGCAATTTGCAGCAATGTCCGATTTTCCAAATGTAATCGGCGATATTGACTGCTATAAGGGCTCCGAGTGAGAATGAATATGTTTATGTAAATAGAAAAAACATACATTCCATCAACGTCCAAATTATTTGTGGGCAGGCCAATGTGCCATGGTTCTAACAAATGTGGTGGCACGTTGGCCTGGGTCTACTCATAACTCATTTATCCTGACGCACAGTAGTGTGGGCAACAGACTGCAGGCAGGTGCTGCACGTGATGGCTGGCTCCTCGGTAAGTAGATCCACACTTATATGACTTAAACCACTGCGTATTATAATCATTGTGGTATAACACACAGGTGACAGTGGCTACCCCTGAGATCCTGGCCCCTCACTCCCTTCAACATCCCGCAGACTGTAGAGGAGCTGCGATTCAATGAAGTCCATGGGCGTGCACGCTCTGTTATTGAGCGCGCCATTGGCCATCTTAAATGCAGGTGGAGATGTTTGGATGCATCAGGGGGCAGACTGCTTTACCAACCCACCGGGGCTACCTCCCCTTCCTCACCTTGACCAGCCTGAAGTGCAGCCCATGCCCCGACATGTGGAACATCAGCAGGGGGCAAGATTGAGACAGGATGTCATGCGTCGTTTATAGAACCAACACAGAAGGCATGATTTTCATATTTTATTTTTTTACCAATTCCTTAAGTGTTCCTGAAATTTCAGTCAGGACATCACATATTCTGTGCAGTTCTTCCCTCACTTCGTTCACTGCACTAATCATGTCCCTCTGTGCCTGCAGGACAGCGTCAGTTAGCACCCGGCCACTTCCAGGTATGCCATGCGCCCTAGGCACACTGGTGGGACAGGCCGACCCTGCAGCCACATCTTCGGTCGTCGCCCGGGATGCACCTCGCTGGACGCTTCGTCCAGAGTCACTGGGGCGGAACAATGAGACATGGTTTTGTTTTATATTTTAATGATGGACACATGTAATATGTATTAATAAAAGGCTTAAACGTGTAAAGGATGAGTAGTTTACATCTTACTTATGAACCATAAAATGTGAAATTCCATAGAAATATGAAATATCAATCTGATGGATCTATGAATATTTCAACCAGAAGCTCAGAACTTTTTATTGCAGGGATTACGTGACACTTCGTATTAACTCCGAGGAAAGTGTAGCGTTATTAAGATCCTATTGTCTGCCCTTAACAGCTGCCCCTTCACACAGTAACAATGTGTAGGAATCGCCAAGGTCGGATGCTGGTTTCAGTATGTTTACATTCCAGGAGAAGAGACAGAAGAAGAGAAGAAGAACGCTTTCCATTAATTAATCAAAGTACTTTATTCGTGATAAAGCTAATCAAAGTTTATGTTTATGTTTATGTGCTTAGCAGATGTTTATGTTGATCATTAATAATCAGGTGAATGATCTGTGAAATAAAGATGTCATGAGTTATGTGTTTAAATGAATAAACAGGGCTGCACCAGACAGACTGATCTGCATTGACATGGAAACGCATGACACATTGTTCTCAACCAATCAGAACTTTCGTCTGTCGCAGAGAGAATCTGGGTTGTTTAATGAAGTTGTCCAATCCGGTTTACTAAGATTTGTAAACAACTAGGAGATATAAAACAAGGCAACGCCATTTTAAACTCAGTTCCATTTTAACCTCAGCTCTGTTCAACTGGAGGTCCTAAGGGTTTCCATCGTCATCATTAAGAAAGTTGCAGGCTGGCCAGCTGCACTTTCCTACTTTAAGCTGAGAACTGTCAAGCTGGAGATTTCCGTCGTTTGAACAACAAGACGACGTTCCTTCAAAACAAGAGCTAACTCGCTGACGCCTGCCGCTGATACCGGGAGTCGACCCACAGACGGGCTTTGTAGTGCTGCGACCGCTGTTTCACCAGCTCCAGCACATCCGAGGGTCCGAGGACCTGGCATTTCCTAATCTACACGGGAGGCTCCACATGGTACGTAGTTGCGGCAAAATGGCAGCTCATGTCATCAGCTTCTGAAGCCTCGTGGTAGCCTAGTCATAACAACCAGATTCGCTACGTCAGCCTAGATATTCTGAAACACACACACACACACACACACACCAACACGAAACATCCAAATCCATATGCATCCATCACGGAGTTAGTCCTGGTAGATTGTAAGAATTTATAATTGTAGAAATTAAAGATTCTTAAATGATCCCAACTCTCTCTTTTCTTGTCTCTCAGTCAATACAAAGTGTTTAAGTAAACTCCCTGATGATAAAAACAACCACTTCTGATTATAATATTTAGATCTAATTACAGTGTATAAATATACAAACTACAGATCACTACAAAAGAAAGAGAGTCAGGTTTATAATAGTTAAGAAATTTATTTCTACACAATTTAAACAAGACTAACTTAAACACTCTGTGTATTGAAGGACTAGATGGAATGAGACGTGAGAGGATGATGTATGTGGAATGTTGTTATCAGAACCAGCAGATCCGGATAAGCATTTAGTTCTGAGTGGGAGTGAATGTTTCGCTCTAAACTTTAGTTGGAGATTTATAACACACATGAGACGCAATCTGTCGGTCTACGTACCCAGGGGAAGCCTCCGTTCAGAACCAGAATGTCGAGGTCCTCTTGGACCCTCCTTGGAACCGAAGCCGGTAGAAAAGCAGCGGTGCCGACTAAACTATTGTTGGAATGCTTCCAGGTCACGACAGGTTCATTGGCGTCTCCGAGACCCTGAAGGGGTCTTGAGGTTCAGCTTTTATTCTGAAGGAACCGTTGCAGTCAGGTGTAACTTGCAACAGATTTTATCCAGCTTGTCGAGGTTCTTTTGGCTGAAGAGGAAGTCCAGATGGCCGGTCCGAGACTTCTCTAGAACGCTTTGAACTAAAGAAAAGGTGGTGTGGAATAGTTTTTATAATTGTCATATTTTGGTTTACTGGCGAATCAGAATTCGACATGCAAAAGAGGGTTTATACAAACACCACAGAAAACCACGCCTCGTGTCAGAAATGAAGGTTCTGATTGGATCAGACAAAAGGAAATGTGTCGTGACTTTAGCATTACATGTCATTAGTGTCTAGTGCAAATGTCTAGGATTATAATTATGTAATGATAGATTTTAATTACATTTAATAAAGGACTATAAGACATTAAAATTAATATCTAGTATGAATTCCATCTTACAGACACTGGGTTATTTAAATCGGAAGATTGGATCTTTTTATTGTAAAATACTACTGATCACAGGATAATAATATCAAGTAATAACATTGTCATTTCACAGATTGATTGAACATTGGGCTCACATTATTGTTGGTAATAACAAAGTTGTTGATTATGCATTTATCAAGAGAGTTCTTCATCTTCGTCTTGAGCTGTAACAGAGGTGAAGCAGTTTAGATGAGCAGAGTGCATGAAATACCTTGGCCAACATCTCTTGTAGATTAGGCCTGTGTCAGAGACTTTATGTCTCTGCTCGAGCAGACGCAGTAGATCATGACCTTTAGGTCAAAAACAGGACATTCATGATGCTACTATCATTACCAGTCTCCTCTGCATGGTCAGTGTCTCCCTCCTGCGCGCTTGCCGGTCCGAGGATTGCTGAGATCCTAACAGTGAGCAGTGGGAGATCAGAGGTGCCAGGACCTCCGCCAGTGGCAGACACACTCTGGCGGTGGCAAGACATCTTTTTTTTGCCTCCACTTTCAGATCGGACCATTTCTTTTTAATATCCGCCACAGATCTCTCTGACGAACTCACAGCATTGACGGCTTCAGCAACACTGTGCCACTCTGATGTTTTTCTCCTATTTGTTATGCCACTGTGTGACCTCCCAAAAGCACTTCCGTTCGGTTTTCCACTTCACCCACAAGTACCTCAATTTCTGCTTCTGTGAAATTGTGCTTCCTTGATCTGCCTTGATCGGGCGCCATCGTGATTGGCGGAGCACTGCAACAGCCAGCTTATATATATGCATGAGATCCACAAGGCACTTTGCATTGACTATTTATGGCAGTAAGTGGGCGTGGTGAGGGTGGGATGTGACCAAAATGCAGCTGAGAAACATTCTTGTTAGTCTCCGATTTATGAAGCGGAGATTGTGTGCAGCTGTGCGTACTCCGGTGATGGGCCGGTGATAAAAACAGCCACTTCTGATTGATCTAATTACAGTGTATAAATATACAAAATCAGGTAATTAAATTATCTAATTACAGTATATAAATATACAACTTCAAATCACAACATATATATATATATATATATACCGTAAATCCTCTAATACAGGCCGGTATTCAAATAAAGACCGGGTCTCCAATTCTGGCCGGTGTCGGAGTCAGCGGAGGTAAATAAT